TTTAATATTTTCATTTTTTAAGGGATTTATTGCATTCAACACACACAGCTTGTTTTTCACCTAATTCCAACTAAAATATTCGTGCCATCAATTAATATCAGCAAAAAATCCATACAATGCAATTATTTTAGCACACTAGCTTCTAAAAAATCTCATTATTTAGGGACTTTGTGCTAAAAAAAATATTATAGGGATTTTTTTCTTTTTTTGTTGATATTGTCATTACGTAGAGCCTTTTAGGAATTTGTATTAACACATGAATATATAATAAACTTGTTTTTCTTAGTATAAATTTCTTATACGATCGAAATCTAAAAATACTCTTCGGAGGGGACGAGTATTTTCAAAGTGAAACAGGGGGCCATGACCCCCGCTGTTTCACAAAACTCCCTACAATTTAATATAGAGTTTTATTATTTTTTCGAGTATTACAACACTATATATAGTCACCTAAAAAAATTGTCCTTAATTATTTTTTTTATTTTGTAATTGGAACTCAGATTACAATAATGTGCGGGAAGACGTTATTTTCATCCACGGATTCATATCATCGTCCGCATTTTGGACGGAGACGCTTTATCCGAATTTCTCAAAGTCCGCGAAATCAAAGTACAGGCTATTTGCAGTGGATCTGCTTGGTTTCGGGCGCAGCCCGAAACCAACAGATTCGCTCTACACATTAAGAGAGCATTTGGAGATGATAGAAAGGTCGGTTATCGAAGCGCATAAGGTGAAATCTTTCCACATTGTAGCTCATTCACTTGGCTGCATTTTGGCTCTTGCCCTTGCTGTCAAATACCCTGGCTCTGTCAAATCCTTGACATTACTTGCACCGGTGAGTTTTTATTCACTATTTATTTATTTATTTATTTTATTTTTATTTTTGCTTTTTTGCATTTATGAACATAAAACGAGATCCTCCATCCTTATTTATTTTCTACTTAAAATGCATTAAAATACGCAGCTGTAGACAGGTCATAAAAATAAATATTTATATAAAAAAAAGACTAAATTGTAGATATAAAATAATTTTTTTTAACTAAAAGCCTCAAGCTAAAGCATAATTACGACAAATTCCCTCATTTTTGACAAATTACATCCAACCCCCTGCAGTTTGTAAATTTCTTACATCCACCCCCTACAAAAGGGTGTTATTGTAATAAATCTACAAATTGCAGGGGTGTGGATGTAATTATGAAAAAATAAGAGGTTTTTTCGTATATAAACCTTACTTTAGGTGGCGATTAAAAACAGTAATAACAAGATAACATAGGAGCCTAATTGTTTTTGTTTTTTCAATGATAGTACATAAAATTGTTGAAACTTGTAGACCAAATTGATAGTCCTACATCTTGATGATGTCATCATGGTCCGTATAGTTTAAACAATACTACTCCTACATTGTACTTAATTAATATTAATTTCATAAACGTGTGCTAATTAAGAATAGATGATCTAACATGGACGGTCAATTAATTGCATAAAAATCATTATGATTATTAATAAAACATATATATTAATATTAAAAAAATTGCAGCCGTATTTTCCAACACCAAAAGGGGAGCAAGCCACACAGTACATGATGAGGAGAGTGGCCCCACGGCGCGTGTGGCCGGTGATTTCATTTGGCGCGTCGGTGGCATGCTGGTACGAACACATAAGCAGGACTATATGCCTGGTCATATGCAAGAACCACCGCATATGGGAATTTCTCGCCAAACTAGTGACCAGAAACAGGTCTGCTAGCTAATTCTTCCCTACTCTCATAGTCTCATTTATTATTGTCGCGTGATGGCCACCTACTTTGTGTGGGACTATAAAAACCGGCACTTATTGCACATGCGATATTCATTAACACTCCACATAGTCCACAGTGGTCTAGTTGGTGTGCAGTGATTGCACAAACTACCAAAGGTCCCATTTTATTTAGGAACATTTTTTTTAAACACGTGTACAAACTTAATACTTCCTTCGTTCCATATTATTTGTCGTTTTGGGTGGTTATGTGTATATTAAGATACTCTATAAATATGCATAAATTATACAAAAAATAACATAGTCAATACTAAGACACTCTTGTCAGTAACTATTTTTTAATTAACAATTAAGAGATAATGGGCGAAATTAATAAAAATGCAGTTAATGCATTATTAGAACTCTAAAATGACAATGCATTTATTAAATTCTTAAAACTTGGGCAACAGTGAAAAAAGACCGTTAATTATGAACGGAGGGAGTAAAAAGATATATACTCCAAAGCCTTATTTTAGTTTTGTAAGATTCCTAATTTTTTTTAAATAATTTTTATAATATAAGTGTTGTTATATCAGCATTCGATATAACACAGGTGCACTAATTGCAATTAGATTGTGGTATCCTTCTAACGAAAAGAAAGCGTGTTTTGCAGGATGAGAACGTACTTGATGGAGGGATTTTTCCTGCACACACACAACGCAGCGTGGCACACACTACACAACATAATATGCGGTACCGCCGGAAAAATAGAGAGTTATCTCGACGAAATCAAGAATCGATTGAAATGCGACGTCACAATATACCATGGTAAAGACGACGAAGTTATCCCTGTCGAGTGCAGCTACAACGTGCAGTCAAGAATCCCACGTGCGCACGTTAAGGTTGTCGAAAATAAGGACCACATCACCATTGTTGTTGGAAGGCAGGACACTTTCGCTCGGGAGCTCGAGGAAATTTGGAAGAACGCAAGTGATAATTAATTGTGATCTACCTTCAAGAAAGTGTTTTTTTTTCTTTCTTTTTTTTTCTTCTAAATGTGGATCAAAATTGTAATTTGATGTTTTATAAGGTCTTGTGTATTATAATAATTACTATTATTATTATACTTATTCTTATAATAATTGTTTATTATTATTATTAGAAGAAGATGAAGAAGTGTTTCTTTCTTAATTAGTGATTTGAAGTGGTAAAAGGAAAAGGATTTGTTGTGGAGAAGGGCAAAGAAGCCAACCCCCAATATATATGTATATTCATTTGAATTATTGGTTTTTCATTTTTCATATATATATATATATATATATATATATATTCACCATTTTAATGATATGTATACTTATTTCAAAATTGATTACCTTAGAGCAACTTCAATGCGGGTTATTGAAATGGTTATCAAACCCATTAACCTTCATTTGACTCCCCAATTTTAAAAACTATCTCCTCCAATGGGGTTATTAAAATAGAGTTCTATTTTGATAACTCATCCATCTGAAAAGTAAAAATACATCACAAATTAATAATTATCAAATATTCTCCTAAAAAATAAGAGCACGTGAAAAAGAAAAACCTCAACAAAATTGAGTTTTTTTTTCTTTATGTAAAAATCTCAACAGAATAAAATTAAATTATCTACCTATTCAACAAATTTCCACTTGAAAAAAAAATCTCAAAAATATCTCAACACAATTTTTTTTCTCTCTAGAGCTTCAACAAAGTTCCACGAAAAAAAAAATCTCTATGTATATATATATTTTTTATTATTATTTTTTCAGTTTTCAAAAATAAAAACTTGATTAATATTGATTTTGAGGATAGTTTACCAGAAAAATTGGTTTGTATGATTATTTAAAATGGATTAAAAAAATAAATAATCATAAATTTGTTTGATAATTGATTTTTGATACTTATGGTTGGAGTTCACTAGTTGTATAGAGATATCAAAGTATAATCCTGATTATTAAATCAGTATTTGATAACAATGGGTTGGAGTTGCTCTTATTCTTTACCAAAAACTGTAGCAAATTGCAGGAAATAAATGTATCACGTTAATTAAATGCACTGAATTATTCAACGTCAGGCTCACAAGAGCTGTGTTATTAAATACCGGAATAAACACAAAACTCTGGTTTCCTTCTTTTCATTTTATTTATTTATTTATTTTATTTATTTTATTTACATTGCAGAAAAACAAGTTCAATGTGTTGTGGGTTTCTTATAGTATTAATATTTTTTGCCTCTTTTACTAGACGGAAACAATTCATTTCGACGCTAGGCATCAACCATTCAAGATAAATTCGATCTAAAAAACTTTGGTAATGAGATTCGAACTCGAATTATTAATTACGCGATATCCTGCTCTGCCAATTAGGCCATTTGAAGGATACTTGGATTAGTTTCTTAATTATTTGTGAGGCAACTTTACCTAAAATGGAAATTGTTTAGGAACATATTTAAAAAAATGATTACAAGTAAAACAAAAAAAAAAAAAGAAGAAGAAGAAGAGCAAAACTAAGATCAAATAGAAATGGGCACAAATTATAATTATGAATATATTTTTTATTCCACAATTAAAATCTTCGAGTTTATAAAACAATTAAAATAAAATAGCCATGTGTAATAACATAAATAATGAGAGTCTTCACTTTTACAAAACATGACAAATGGTTTAGTTGTTATGAAGTGTAACTTGTCGGGTCATTGAAGGTTTTAATAGCATATATATTATACTCCATCCGCCCCATATGATATATCGTTGTGGTTATGCACATATTAAAAAATTCAATAAATATCCATAGATTCTAGCAAAATAATATAGTAAATACTAAAATATTCTTATTATTAATTCTTTTTCAATTAACGAATTAAGAGTGATAAGTGATAAAATTGAAAAAAAATATAAGTAATGTTTTTTTGAAATTCTAAACTGACAAATAATTTGGGACAATAAAATTCATAATATGAAATAGAGGAAGTACGTTCGATGTGAGACTAAGTAGAGATTTCAAGATCTATGAGATCCTATACCTGATGAAAAAACATCAGGTAATTTTGCACGCAGTAGAATTAGCCAAAAAAAAAATACTAAAAAAGGCCTAAATGCTGTTGAAAGAAATGACCCATTCTGCTGGAAAGGAGAGTTTTGACTGTGAATGAGGCAGGGGCTCGAAAGCAAGAAGCAATGAGATGCACGGAAGCCGTTGCAGTGAATAAATATGTGTGTGTGTGTGTGTGTGTTATTATGTATAGATTAATAATGTAAGATCAGCCAATATATTACATCGAGTGCAGCATCCACACTACCAGATATAAATCAAGAGGTAGGTAAAATTTGCTCTCACTTAATTAATTATATAGGTCTAAAAAATCTCTCTACCAATTCAAGAAATAATATCGATTGGAATGTGGAAATGAGAAAATGGGCCATATGGGCCGGGCCAAATTTGGGTACTTATAAAGCGCACGTGATTCTTTCATAAGAAGAAATGCTAAACTTGGGCTGCTGAGTTTGTTCATTATAAAAAGGGAAAATACAAAAAATATTCATTAAACATTACTTTTTAATTAAATGGTCAATAATTTAACCAACTGATTTATTTTACAAATAACAAAGTTGGTCGCCAATCATTACCCGACTTATAAAAATCGAGCCGATAGTTTCCAGTATCCAGCAAAGCCGATTGGTTGGGTCTGATCTGCTCCACGATATCTAAGAGATTAAAGGTGGTACCAAAATTATTAGGGTTTAGTAAAATAAATAATACACGTCATAGTTTTGGTATGGTTTTTGGTTTTCCTCTCGAGTTTTGAGTATCCGACCTTTTATTATATACGGCATGAGTATTCAACCATATGTTCTATCTAACATATAGTTTAATAATTATAGTTTTTATATTACAATATAAATATAAAGCACTGCAATACAATTTGAAACAAATTATTAACATAAAATTAGGATCGGGAGTGGATTGGGCGGTCAATTATCGAACTAAAAACTAACCCATTCGATAAACCAATTTTGCTCAAATTTGAAAATCATTGTCGATCCAATCTTTGTGAATCGCTTGTGGTTGGCATCCGATTATTTGGTTCAAAAATGGGTAGGTTGATTAGTATACCCATCATCCTAATTCACTTTAAAAAATTCAAATTTTGAAGTAAAAGTATGCACATTCTCCCCACTGCCACATCATCATTTATCCATTTAAATCAGTCAATAGCAATTCGACAAAAAATATAATTTTGAAATTCAAACAAGTTTTAAACATGCCGGTTTCGAGATTCTAACGGGAGATTTATGTCAACTTTTTTTCTTGTTGATTTAAAAAAAAAAATTTAAAATGCTAACCAGTACCCACTTAAGAAAAACCATGCCTTTTACTTTATATTTTCTTAATAATTTTTTTTTTAATATAGTTGAGTGAAACCTAAAATTTGTTTGAGAAGGAAAAAAAAAGTGGCAGTAATAATTAATCAGTGTAGTAATTTATCAGAGTAAAAGAAATTGAAATTGAGGGATTGCTTAAATTGTGGGAGTAGTAGCAAAAAAACCTGCACAACTTAAGCTGACATCTGTACTGTTCGTTCCTCAGTAAATTTCAGGGAAAGAAATAAATAAACACAACAAATAGACACATCATTGTTTAAATAAAAACAAAATTGGAACGCATTAATTGGGGAAACATTGGCTTCAATATTGACAGTGACTATACTATTTGAGAGAAAAGTCTTGTTTATACTATTTTGTAGCAAATTACGAAAAAACCCCTCAGATAAAGAACTAATTACAAAATTTTCCTCCATGTTTGCGTAATTACGAAAACTGCGATGAGGTATTTTGCCGTCTTACAGAGTCCTTCTTACCGTATTAATCTTTATGATTTTTTTTTTGTAATCACGCAAATATGGAGGGAATTCTCGGAATCAGGCATTACCTCAAGGGAGTTCTCGTAATTTCTCTATAAATAAAGTGGATCAAACGAGCTAAGTTATTGACAAAAGAACATCGTCACATGTACACTAGTAATATATATATATATATATATATATATATATATATATATATATATATATATATATATATGAATCATATACTCGAA